TGGTTTTAAGGCGGAAGTTTTCTTCCTTGAGGAGGGGGTGGAGCCCCCTTGTGTTCTCAATTTTCCCAAAAGTTCCAGCCAAGGGGGGCCCCCCATAACGGGGGCTGGGAAGGGGCCTTTGGGGATTGACCTGTGTAGACTCAGTGGTGGTGTTCTCAAAAAAAAGATTTGTTTCCCTCTCCCGTCTCCGCCCAAAATGTAAGAAAGTGTGAGTCCTTTGGGAGGGGCAGTTTGACGGCAGTTAGAATTTAATTGAGAGTTGCAAATTTTCCATGGGAAAAAAGCGGGTGCAGGAAAGGGGCTGACCTAAACAGAACTGGGAGGTATTCGTCCTTGGGAAGGTTGCTGAGATGACAGGCCAGGCTGATAATCAAATGGGGAGGCACATGGGTTCAAAAAAGGGGCTGTTGGGTTACGCAATAGCCCAGTTGGAGGAAGGTTGAGAGTAAAGTTGCATAAACGTTGATCAAGATATCCTAAAACTTTCCCTGCAGGGAGTGTTCTGTTGAGCAAAGAGGTGCCTGATATGCTAGGACAGTGTTGGTTGTAACTGGTCCTAAGATGGGGACTTTGTTGGATGAGCGTTCAGTTATGTTGTTTAAATATGACTGGAGTGACTGAACGGCTCTGCCTGAGAGCGTTCCTCTTGTCATTTCTGTGAGTTGGAAGTTATAAAGTTCACCAAGGCACACGAGTTGGGACAGGGGCCCTCCATGTATCTTACAGTGGAAGGACAGACTGGAGGTGGCCCATGTGTATAAGGAGGCTGGGGCTGCCGTGTAGCTAGTTGATGAGAGGGGAAGACAGAGCCAGCAGTCCTGCGCGAGAGTGGGGTTGGTGGTATTGAGGAGCTGATGTGTTAGGTTGAGGGTTCGAGAGAGATAGTGAGGACTTAGGAGGTGTTAAAGAGGTATGGGGTAGACCTGCATACACAATGAGAGGAGGAGAAGGCTTGGGGGGTCATTGTAGACTCTAACAGATATGGCGTAATTTCAACCAGATGGTAAAAGGCAATGGCTCATTAAAAAGTAAAAAATGACAAGGGTGACTCCAAGGAATACTACCAGCCAGAATAAAGAGTGAGTAAGGGCCTCCCAGGCTGAATTCTAGTTAAGTTAATCCCCAGAGTTGACTTCTAGCCAGCTTATTTGGTCCCAGGAAAAGTCTGTGAAATCTCCCTGCAGATAACAATCCCATAAGAACATCAGTAGCTGTGTTCAGTCCTGGGACGAAAAGGAGAAGGGACTTCTTTGAGGAAGGATAGGGTAAGTGTTCTGCAGTAGGGAGGGGGCTGGCCAGGGCAGGGCCAAAAGACAGGGACCAGCACAAACAGGACAGTGAGAGGCAATGGGGGAAGCCTGGCTCATAGGGGAGTAGGGTAAAGGTCCAGGGCTTACGGTTCCTCGGAAATTTTTGTAAATTTTAGGCCAGTCGGTCCGAGGCTGACCCTCAGCTATAAGCTGATTGGTGGTGAAGTCTGGGGTGCAGGGGTTCACTTCAACTTGGAGGACTAGACCCAGGATGGATATCCCCATAGCTTGACCGCTGTTGGTGTGGTCAGGAGTGCCTGGTGTGGTCCTGTCCTTTCGGGCTTTGCTGTAGGATGAAATACCCAGTCTCCCAGCTCTAGCGGAGGATCAAGGGGAGAGTCAGTGGTCGGCCTGGAGAGAACTGGCCGGCATGCTGCCGAAGGAGGTGGCAAGTGAGGTTGAGGGTGCAGAGATAATCTCCCAAAGGGCTAGAGCAGTGGTTGCCAGTGTGGGGGCACTCGCCCCACAGGGGGCAGTTTGATTTT